CGTTGGAGTTTTACCCTCGCCCGCCCGCCCGCCAAGCGCAGCCACCCGCCCGCGAAGCCGTGTGGAATTCGTGCTAGGCTGCAGCTAATTCAAGTTCTCGTTGTGGTGGCGCCACTCGGCTGGTGGTGGGGGGACGAAACGGTACCGAGACAGCTACTTCACGGACCTCTCCCAGGGTGTGCTTTAGCCAGAATCTCGAAGCGAATCCAGCCGTGGCGACGAGGGCTCTCCAGGACGAGCAGTGGCATCGGTACCTCTTCCTTCTCCGAAGACGTTGGCTGTCTCAGGAGAGCCAAAGATCGAATCGATAATTCGGATCGGCGATCGACATGAGTCGGATCGCCAGAAACTCGCAGCCAAGTCGGGAGAAGTCGAACCGGCGGAAGTCGACACGCTAGTGAGGCCCCTATAGAGCAATCGGAACCCAGATCGGAACCCGAAGCCGAACCGAATCGAAATCGGAATTGGGATCGACAACGACCCGAATCGAGCCGGTGTAGTCGAAATGAGCCCTGCTGTCCGGGGCCCGGGGTCGTGGCAGCGGAGCACGCCCGCGGACCGTGCCGCCGCGGGGGAGGCCGACCCCGGTGCTGATGTCTGCTCGGCCTCCCCCAGTTTCCCGAGCGGGACAAGGACGAGGAGGAGGACAACGATGACGCGATGACGACGACGACGTCGACGACGACGGCGGCGACGACGACGACGACCACGACGACGACGACGACAAGGACGACGACGAAGACGACGACCACGACGACCACGACCACGACGACGACCACGATGACGACGACGACGACGACGACGACGACGACGACGACGACGACGACGACGACGACGACGACAAGGACGACCCCCGCCCGCCCGCAGGCGCTGAGCCGCCGCGGCGGCGGCTGCCTGGGGCGCCGCGCGCTCCGCGCCGGCGGCCTGGAGGAGCAGGGCCGACCTCGGCCGCAGCACACGCGGCGGGGGGGGGTGTGCGCCGCGGAGGCGCGCTGCGCGGAGGCGCCGCGGGGGGCCCTCCGAGGGCGCGCGGGGGGCCCTCGGGGGGCCCTCGGGGGGCCCTCGGGGGGCCCTCGGGGGCCCTCGGAGGCCCTCGACGTCGTCGCCGTCGCCGCCGTGGCGATGGCGATGGTGGTGGTGGTGGTGGTCATCGTCGTCGTCGTTGGAAAAGGTGTCGGGCGTTCGCGGAGGTTCACGTCGCCACGGCCGGGTGCAACTCGAGAAGCTGGCCAGGGTGGCTCCAGGAGGGGGCCAAGGACCTGTTTTGAACGGATTTTGCCGGGGGGCTCCTCCACCCTTCTAAACAACTCCTCCCTGTCTCACCACAAGACGTGTCGTCATGACAGACCAGGCGTTTCACCTGAGAATTCCTCACCGTTTGCAATGCTGAAGCCTGGAACCTTCGAGACTTATGCGGTTTGGGGGCGGCTGGTTTTCAAAAAAGGGCTCTCTCCTCGGCGCCGCGCACACTCGTCTTAAACAAAGCCAACAACTACACGGATGGGAGGCGAGACGTTTACCAAATTGGGCTCCAACCTTTGCGCCGGGCGCGCTCGTCAGAAACAAATCCAGCAGACACACAGATGACAGGCGGAACGCCTTCGAAATTGGGCGCTCGCCTTTGCGCCGTGCGCACTCGTCACGAGCAAGTCCAACTGCTTCGCGGATAGAGGGCGGATGATTCAGACATTGACCTTGTCACAGAGACCTTCTCACAAGCTGGTGCAATACATCGGTGCGACAGCTTCAAGGCTGGATGGCAGCTCCTTTTCTCAAAATGAGGCCCTCGCGTGAGGCTGCTTTTTTGAATCTCTCTCTCTCTCTATATATAAGGCTGCTGTTTTGTTTGGATACATATACATATATCGGCGCACCGGGTCCGGGGGCCCGGGGCCGGGACCCCGACCGCAAATGTGCACCCCGGGGGGGCCGGAGGCTCGTCGGGGCTTGCCGGAGGCCTCCCCAGTCAGACAAGACGGCCCAAGAAGCGCCCAAGACGGCCCAAGAAACTTCCAAGAGGCCTCCAAGAGGGCTCCGAGATGCTGAAGATGGCCTCCAGACGTCCAAGGACGCCCCCAAGAGGCCCCAAGAAGCCTCCAACATGCGTCCCAAGAGGGCCCCTAGACGCAAAAATTGGCCCATTCCCTTCGTAAAACGTACATTTTCAACAAAGTTGTCTTTTGGGCTTTCCGACGTATATAATACACCACCATCAGATTACAAGTCTGCAGCAATTGAACGAATGAAGGGCGTCTTTTACAGTGGGGCTGTCGCTTGGTGCTTACTTGGAGGTGCGTGGCCCCATCTTGCCGCAGTGCTTACGGCTCGAAGGATGGAGAATACGTCTTTTCGACGCAGGGCTCCGGCCTGAATTGCGGCCCAGGGGGCGCTGTTCTTTCCAGGGAGCGCTTCACGCGCAGTGGAACAGCATGCGGGCAGGGATTCATGAGGCAGCGACTTGGGGCTGGACACTGTAACACCGTTGGTACGTATTGGCGCGATGCGACGCGAGCACCGCTGCGGACAACCGGTCTGGCCTAGCTCAGCCCAAGTGGGTGGGGCCGTGGCCTCTAGTTTCAGGCGTGTCCGGACGCATGCAATGCCATATAAGCATATGGTGACAGACGAAGAGAGGGGGATCCGCCGTGTCGGTGTAGACAAGAGTCGTCTCGACGTTCGCTGGGTGCTTTCGTAGTCGGTCCTGCATGATTGCATGATTGCTCGCGTGGGGGCAGAATACTGGTGCTCGAGCGCCGTCCATGTGACGATGTCTTGGACTGTCCGCACCCATGTATTGTCGCTCGCCTGTTTTTCCCCCGGGCAGATGTGTGCGTCTGGAGGAGGTCTGGCATGCGGTGACGCATGCAGATGTTGATTTCGTCGTACCAGCGTCTGTGTTGACCAGCGTGCTGTTCATGCCCACGCTGGCGTAGATTGAGGTCTGAATGCCTGTGCAGCGTTCGCCATGTCCACCTGGTGCGGTTGCGCTTTGCTACTCTTGAAGCTCGTCTAGAAGAAGAACAACACGGCATACACATAACCTTTTCTGGCGCTCCGCGCGGAGCGCCAACAGTTTATGCTGATGGCGTTTTGTTCTGCTTCGAGGTGTAGCGCTCGCCATGTCCAAATGGTGCGGTTGCGGTTTGCTACTCATCAGGCTATTCCACATATTTGCCCAACTGTTGATGCATCGTGCAACTGTTGATGCACCGTGCAACTGTTGTGCATCGTGCAACTGTTGTGCCTTGTGCATCGTCCGCTGTGGGCTGCTCTTGTGCATCGCCGTCCCACTGCTGGTGCGGCTCTGCCTCGTGAGGTGCTCCGCGCGTCGTGTCAGGTCGGGCATGTCCCCCTACAGGCGGATTTTCTACGAAAAGTAAAAACAAGTCCAACAATGTGCAAACAAGTACTTAGAACAACACTCGCAAAATCGTCCCCTGACAATTCTTCTACCTATTTTTGAACATTCCCCCGTGTGGAGGGACAAGCCCGACTTCAGCGTCGTGCGGCGCACGCTGAATGTACTCGACTCGAGGCTCCACCGGGTCTTGCAGGGGCGCCGCCTTCGTCGCCCTCGCTCTGCCGGCCAGGCGTGCTGGGCGGGGCTGGACCCGAGCGTTGTGGTTCGTCCTGTGTTCGTCCTCTTCTTCGTTTTGCTCCACCTGTTTTCCTGTACCTCCCTGCCAAAACTTGGCGGCGCGCGCAAGGGAGTGGAGGGAGGGGGGAGGGAGGGGTTCTTAGAAGGAGGCTGCTTCTTAGAAGGCGCCGGCGCTACATCTGTAGGTAAGGCCCGCGCCTTCTAAGAAGCAGGGGTGCTTCTAAGAAGCTATCCTCCCTCCCTCCACCCCCCTCTGCGCGTGGCTGAAAAACGAACAACAAAACATAGCCGAAGTCCAAAAAAACAGCGTTCAGGTCCAGCCCTGGTGCAGTTGGTGCAGTGATCGCTGTCTGATGCTTCGTTGCTTCCAGTGTCGAAAGCCGTAGTTCCATGGCTGCTTTGGTGGTCAATTATGGTGGTCTGCCTGGTTCGTATGCGAAACATTCGTCGCCGCATCCGTCGTAAGTGCTGAGGGGCTCCGTGGGCATCCACGTCTCTGCTCCGTACAGTGCTGTCGAAGTTTCAATCGGCGGAGTCGGCGTGCCAGTGGGTAATACTTGCTGGCAAACTCTTGTTTGCGAGAAGTGAACGAAGTGAACGAAACCCTCCTCGTTTACCCGTGCCCCATCCTTGGGTCCCGAGGCCTATAGAATCCCACCGCCTGCGCAAAAAGTAGTCGCAACATCTGCATGGAGGCAAACCGCAGCCGCGCCCGTGGAAAACACTTGGCGAGCTAGAGGCGGAACCATGCAGGATATCTCGTGGTATGCCCAAGCGAGCAGCAAGCATACGCGCAGGCGAGCAACGCCCCACTCCCAAACCTGTTCATACATTTCCCCGACCAGCGCTGTGGTCCTGACCCAATGTGGCGAGCACATCGCACCGACGACCCCTCGAGACTCGAGAGTAGCGTCGAAACCCCGATGGATGCTCCACGGGGGCATCCCCTCCCTCCCTGGCGCGCGGAGCGCGCCAGGAGCACGGCGAGCAGGAGGGGGAGCAAGCGGCAAAAGAACAGGAGGAGTGCGACGAGGAGGTAGAGACTGATGATTAGCTTGAGGGGAAAGGAATAACGACGAGGAGGAATAGCACCAGGAGGATGAGGAGGATTTGAGGGAGGCGAGAAGGAGTGAGATGAGGAGGTAGGCAGAGGAGGAGGAGGGAGAGGATGAGGGGGAGGAGGAAGAGGAGGAGAAGTGGAAGGGTGAGAGCGAGCGCGAGGAGAAGAATGACGTGGACGCCGAGGATGAGGAGGAGGGCGAACAACGATGACGAACAGCTCGATGACGCAGAAGGCGCAGGCGGATCAGGAGCAAGAGGGCGCGCGAACACTCTCAGGAACCACCTTGGCTTAAACAAACGCTCTTTAGAGATGCTGGACTGGACGCTGGCTATACTTCTTTTCTGTGCGCGCAACTGTCCCGCTGCCCGTGCGGCGGCTTCTGGTGTGGGCTTCTGCGCCTCTGCGCGCCCAGAGGACTCTGCCGCACCTGCCGGGCGCTGTTCTGCTTTCGAATGACACGCTCGCGCTGTGGCTGCAGGATGTGGCCGGACCCAGGACAGACTATCATCCTTCAGGAACGCGAGACCCTCCGCCGGCCAGACCCGAGAACATTCGAGGGTACCGCCCCCCCAGGATGCTCACTGACATCCAACACACACACGAATCACACTTGGGCACCCTCCCCGAACGGACCTCACTCCCACACCGCGGCCCGGCCGTCTCCGTCACGAGCATCACTCCTGCAGCGGCGGCGGCGTCCGGTTCGCACGGCGCGCTCGCCCCGACGCCCGGCCGGCCACGGCCTGGCAGCAGCAGCAGCAGCACCGCTGCATGCGCCTGCACAGCGTCGGAGCCGTCGACAGCCTGACGCCGTGCAGCCAGCTGCTGTCCACAGCCTCTGCCTGGGACGTGTCCTCGATGTCGCAGATGCGATACTGCCGTTCCCACCTTCTGCGCCGCACGGAGTCCAGCACGGGCCGCGGCGATGGTCTCCAAGACCCGCTGCTCCAACCGGGGCTGTAGCTCCAGCCCTCTGCATCCGTGCGCTCGTCCGTGACCACTCGCCAGCCGCCGACCGGCTGCCAGATCGACGACATGACCACGGGCGGCTCCTGTGCCGCCTGCCAGTCCCGCTGCGGGTCCAGCAGGGGGTGCTTGCGCTGGAGACCGCCGTCCACCCACCGGTGCTTCTGCTCGGCGTCCGTCGGCAAGTAGGGCGCACACCAGCCGCCGGTGGCGGAGCGCCTCTGCACTTCGAGCACCGCGCAGATTTGCCTCGACTCGGCCCAGGTTTTGGCGCCCTGCGCCACGGCCAGGGAGCGCGCCAGGGACAGCGCCCTGCGCAGCTTCTCCGTCCAGTCGTCGCCGTCGCTCAGTGCAGCGGCTGAAGCTTCTGTGCAGCCGCCTTCCGCCGACACGTTGGCCAGCGCCTCCAGCAAGGCGCTGGCGACGTCTCCCCCGAGCGCCCGCGGCGCAGGGACGTCGAGGGTGGACTGGCCGCCTCGCACGAGGAGTCGCGGCCCCGCTCCAGGGTACGCCGCTGGCTCCTTGAATTCGATTCTCAGTAGAGGTAGGGTCGCACTTCCGCGCACTCTGAGAGCACTGTCGCCATGCGCTGGGAAGAAGCCTGCGGCGGACCCCGAGGCGCCGCGCGACAGCAACGGGCTGCCCAGCGGGCTGGCCGGGGCCTGAGACGATGAACTGGCCGTTGGCGGAGACGCCGCTTCCAGCGCCCCCATCTCCGTCATCATCTCCTGGCCCGGGGCGCGCTGCGTGCCCGCGTTGGGTGCGCCGACGAGGGCGGCCTCCAGCGGCTGCTCGTCCTCTGGGGGCGGCCTGCGCTGGAGTCCAGCGTCCTCCTTAGAGGAACAAGGAAATACTAGGAACATCAACTTTTGGAGGTCCGCGCAGATTTCTTGGATCGGCGCTGGACCTCCCTCCCTGGAGCGCGGAGCGCGCCAGGGGTGGCCCCGTAGGCGCTGACAGGGGCGCTCCAGCGCCGATGCGACAAATCCGCGCGGACCTCCGAAAGTTTTCGGTGTATGCATTTTTTGCTCCCTGGATCCCTCAGGCTGATCAGCATCGCCAGGTCTGCGCCAAGCTCTGCGGCATGGCTGCTCACCGCTGCCCTGGCAACGAACTCTGGCTCGGGCACCTCCACGTGGTGCACGGCGTCCGCCGCGAGGACCAGCGCCTGCAGCAGCGGGGGCGGGTGGCCTTCGACGGCACCGCGGGGGGCCCCCGCGCTGTAGCACAGGGGCACGACGACCTTAGGTGAACGAAGAATGACATAAACATGAAAACTCGGAGGTCCGCGCGGATTTCTCGGATCGGCGCTGTACCCGCCTCCCTGGCGCGCAGAGCGCGCCAGGGGCGGCGCCAGAGGCGCCGCCAGGGGGCCCCAGCGCGGTTCCGAGCAATCCGCGCGGACCTCCGAGTTTTCATGCTTATGCCATTCTTCGTTCCCGTAGGCCTCGATCCGAAGGTCCGGCAGCTTGCTGGCCACGTGGGCCTCCAGCTCCGAGAACTCCACCACCGCCCCGCGCGGCCCCGCCAGCAGCCGCGGCGGGCGCCGCACCCGCACCACCTGCTGAGCAGGGAACAAGCATGTTCTAAGAATATTCACTGCGTGGAGCCCCCCATATGTGCATCTATTCGCATGGACCTGTCCGCCGTGAATGTCTAGGCGCAAGAGCTTTCGAATATAAACGGGCTTCAGTTGTGACGGTCTGGACATGAATCCAACTGCGAATGACTTGGAGTGTCCTGAAACCTACTGTTGGGGCCTCCTGGGACCTCCTAGGAAGGTTTCGTGCAACAGGAGAGGCCCAATCTATAGCAACATACGTACATAAGGCATTGCGGATTAGAGCCACAGGAGAAGGGCAATCTATAGGAACACACGTAAAACACAAAGGACTCGTGCCCCAGGAGAGGCCCAATACATATATATATGTATGTATGTATGTATGTATGTATGTATGTATGTATGTATGTATGTATGTATGCATGTATGCATGTATGTATGTATGTGTATGTATGTATGTATGTATGTATGTATGTATGTATGTATGTATGTGTGTATGTATGCATGCATGCATGTATGTATGAATGTATGTATGTATGTATGTGTGTGTATGTATGTATGTATGTATGTATGTATGTATGCATGCATGCATGCATGCATGCATGCATGCATGCATGCACGTATGTATGTATGTATGTATATATGTATGTATGTATGTATGTATGTATGTATGTATGTATGTATGTATGTATGTATGTATGTATGTATGTATGTATGTATGTATGTATGTATGTATGTGTGTATATATATAAGAACATAAGTAAAGCATGTAGGATTGTGTACACAATCGATAGGTGCATACGTAAAACACATGGGATTGGAGCCACTCCTGTTGCCTTCTGAGGCCTCCTGCTCCTGGGGCCTCTCGGGGCCTCCTGTTGCCTTCCGAGGCCTCCTGGCGCTTCCTGTGGCCTCCTGGGGCCTCCTGTGGCTTCCTGAGGCCTTCTGGAGCTTCCTGGGGCCTCCTGGAGCCTCTTGGGACATCCTGTGGCCTCTTGAATCTTTCTGTGGCCTCCTGATGCCTCCTGGGACCTCATGTGGTCTCCTGGGGTCTCCTGGAGCCTCCTGTGGCATCCTGAGAAGAATCTGCGCCCACGAGCCTGGCCACCAAAACAAGCAAACCGATCGAGACATCCTCAATCTGGCCCACCCGGGGGGTGAAAATGAGCGCCTCGTTCGAGACATCTTCCAAATCTGCTCCGGCAGCGAAGGATGTTGGGACAGAAAACAAGCAAACCGCTGGAAACATCCCCACAACACGGCCGCGAACGGGACCGTGCAATACTCCTCGGCGGCTCCCCTTAGGGACGTGAAAATGAGCGCCTCGCTCGAGACATCCTCGAAATCTGCTCCGACAACGAAGGATGTTGGGACAGAAAACAGGCAAACCGCTCGAGACATCCCCACAAAACACAGAAAACGGGACCGAGTGAGATACCCCCCCGCCGCTCCCCCTAGGAACGTGAAAATGAGCGCCTCGCTCGAGACATCCTCCAAATCTGCTCCGAAAGCGAAGGATGTTGGGACAGAAAACAAGCAAACCGCTTGAGACATCTCCACAAAACGGCCGCGAACGGGACCGTGCAATATCCCTCGGCGGCTTCCCTTAGGGATGTAAAACTGAGCGCCTCGCTCGAGACATCCTCCAAATCTGCTCGAAAAACGAAGGATGTTGGGACAGAACAGCGAAGGATGTTGGGACAGAAATTATTCACTGCGTGGAGCTCCCCATATGTGCATCTATTCGCATGGACCTGTCCGCCGTGAATGTCTAGGCGCAGGCGCAAGAGCTTTCGAATATACACGGGCTTCAGTTGAGAGAGCGTGATCCACCGCCGCTTTACTGTGGAAAATTGCCAACCTTTTCCTCCGGAGCCCGGGGGTCGCCCCCCCCCCCCCTCCGAAAATCCCCCCCCCCCCCCTGCTGGAACCCCTCCCCCCCCCCCCCCCTTCCCCCGGCAAAACCCCCCCTCCCCTAACCCCTCCCCCCCCCCCCCTCCCGCTCGAAAACCGGGGGGGGTCACTACCGGTTCGAACCCCTCCCCCCCCCCCCCTCCGGATCCGGAAAACCGGGGGGGGTCACTACCGGTTCGAACCCCCCCCCCCCCCCCCCCCCCTACTCACCGCCAGCAAACGACTCCCGGTCCCCACCACCGTCCGCATCACATCCCCCACTGGTGTTCCCAGCACCACTGTCCTCACCACCGCTGTCCCCACTGGTTCCACCACCGCCCCTACTGTCCCCACCAGTGGCCCCACCACTGTCGCACTGTCCCCGCTGTCCCCAGAACTGTTCCCACCACGGTTCCACTCTCCCCACTGTCTCCACGGCCCCAACCACTGCCCGACTATCCCCACTGTCCCCACTGTCCCACTGACTCCTCCGCTGTCCCACTGAGCTGTCCCACTGTTCCCACCACTGTCCCCACTGTCCCCACCACTGTCCCCACTGTACCTCTGTCCCATTGTCCCACCGCCGTCCTCGCCACCGCCTTCACCACTGTCCCCACCACCATTGTACCCTCCACTGTCCCACTGTTTCCACCTCATTCCCATTGTCCCCACACCACTGTCCCCACCACCACCGTCACCACCACTGTCCACTGTCCCCCCCTGTTCCCACCATTGTCCCCACCACTGTCCCCACCACTACCGTCCCCACCACTGTCCCACTGTCCCACTGTCCCCACCACTGTCCCGCTATCCCCTCACCACTGTCCCCACCAACACCGTCCCCACCACTGTCCGCACCCCCACTCGGTTTTCGAGGGGGGGGGGGTTCGAACCGGTAGTGACCCCCCCCGGTTTTCGGAGGGGGGGGGGGGGGGTTCGAACCGGTAGTGACCCCCCCCCCTTTTCATGATGAGCTGGGGGGGGGGGGGGGGAGGGGTTCGAACCGGTAGTGACCCCCCCCGGTTTTCAGGAGGGGGGGGGGGGGAGGGGTTCGAACCGGTAGTGACCCCCCCCGGTTTTCCGCCAGCAGCGGTAGAACACGCTCTTTCAGTTGTGACGGTCTGGACATAAATCTAACTGCGAATGAATTGGAGTGTGAATGAGCCTCAGTAGTACGAGCGCGTCTTTGTGCATGAGCCTGGGGCCTCCTGGGGCCTCCTGAAACCTACTGGGGCTTCCTGGGGTCTCCAGGAGCCTCTTGGGGCCTCCTGGGACCTCCTAGGGAGGTTTCGTGCCCCAGGAGAGGCGCAATAGATAGCAACAGACGTACATAAAACATTGCGGATTAGAGTCACAGGAGAAGGGCAATCTATTGTAGGAACACGCGTAAAACACCAAGGACTCGTGCCCCAGGAGAGGCCCAATATACAGGAACATAAGTCAAACATGTAGGATTGTGTACACAGGAGAAGGACAATCTATAGAAGCATACGTATAACATCAAACAATCGTGCTCCAGGTGAGGCCCAATCGATAGGAGCATACGTAAACCACATGGGATTGGAGCCACTACTGTTGCCTTCTGAGGCCTCCTGCTCCTGGGGCATCTCGGGGCCTCCTGTTGCCTTCCGAGGCCTCCTGGCGCTTCCTGTGGCCTCCTGGGGCCTCCTGTGGTTTCCTGAGGCCTTCTGGAGCTTCCTGGGGCCTCCTGGAGCCTCTTGGGACATCCTGTGACCTCTTGAATCTTTCTGTGGCCTCATGATGCCTCCTGGGACCTCATGTGGTCTCCTGGGGCCTCCTGGAGCCTGTTGGAGCCTCCTGTGGCATCCTGAGAAGAATCTGCGCCCACGAGCCTGGCCACCAAAACAAGCAAACCGATCGAGACATCCGCAACATCTGGCCCACCTGGGGGGTGAAAATGAGCGCCTCGCTCGAGACATCCTCCAAATCTGCTCCGAAAACGAAGGATGTGGGCACAGCAAACAAGCAAACAGCTCGAGACATCCCCACAAAATCCCGCGAAAGGGGCCGAGTGCAATACCCCCCCGCCGCTCCCCTTAGGAACGTGAAAATGAGCGCCTCGCTCGAGACATCCTCCAAATCTGCTCCGACAACGAAGGATGTTGGGACAGAAAACAGGCAAACCGCTCGAGACATCCCCACAAAACACCGCGAACGGGACCGAGTGAGATACCCCCCCGCCGCTCCCCTTAGGAACGTGAAAATGAGCGCCTCGCTCGAGACATCCTCCAAATCTGCTCCGAAAGCGAAGGATGTTGGGACAGAAAACAGGCAAACCGCTCGAGACAACCCCACAAAATTCCGCGAACGGGACCCCGTGCAATACCCCCCCCGCCGCCCCCCTTAGGAGTGTTGAGGCAACCGAATCGCCTGACACATCCTCAACATCAATGAGTGGACCTGAGTGAGTGTAGTGAATGTATGAGTACAAGTACGAGTGAGTCTGAGTGATGAGTGAGTCTGAGTGATGAGTGAGTCTGAGTGATGAGTGAGTCTGGGTGATGAGTGATGAGTCTGAGTCATGACTGAGTCCGAGTGATGAGTGAGTCTGGGTGACGAGTGAGTCTGAGTGATGATTGGGTCTGAGTGATGAGTGAGTCTGAGTGATGAGTGAGTCTGAGTGATGAGTGAGTCTGCGTGATGAGTGAGTCTGAGTGGGTCTGAGTGAGAGGAGGTGAGGGTGTTCCTGTTCTCCTGTGTTCCTCCGGCGCGGTCTGGCAATAACAAGAACCCCGTTCTTAGGATATGGGGAAACAGGCAAACCGCTTGAGACATCTCTTCAAAACGGCGGCGAACGCTCGAGACATCCTCCAAATCTGCTCCGAAAGCGAAGGATGTTGGGACAGAAAACAAGCAAACCGCTTGAGACATCCCCACAAAACGGCCGCGCACGGGACCGTGCAATACCCCATCGGCGGCTCCCCTTAGGGACGTGAAAATGAGCGCCTCGCTCGAAACATCCTCCAAATCTGCTCCGAAAGCGAGGGATGCTGGGACAGAAAACAGGCAAACCGCTTGAGGCATCCCCACAAAACGGCCGCGAACGGGGCGTGCGTGAGTCTCAGCATGAGTAAGACTGAATAGGAGTAGGTCTGAGTATGAGTAGGTCTGAGTCTGAGTAATTTTGTGTGTGAGTAAGTCTGGGTATGAGTAAGTCTGAGTGTGAGTCAGTCTGTGTATGAGTAAGTCTGGGTATGAGGAGGAGCGGGGAGGAGAAGGAGAAGGAGGAGAAGTCGGCGGCGTCCAAGAAATAACAAACATCCCATCTTAGGATATGGGGAACAAAAACAATGCTCTTAGAACACAAACCGATGTGCTAAAACAAGACAGTCCCAGCCGGACATGTTCCAAGAACCCTTCGTGGAAGCCACAAAAAGGTCCTTGGAACACTGCTGGGTAGGCCTGTGAGAACGCCAGAACGCTTCGCCACTGCTTGAACCTGCTGGTGCCTGCCCTGGGTGGCGCTGCCGACCTGGGCCGCGATGCCCGCGCCCACGTGCGTGACGGCGCGGCCCACCGCGCTGACCGGCTTGACCACGCTGCTGATGACGCCCTTGCCGACCCCCTCCACGAAGCCGCCGACGCCGCCCTCGCGCGCACCCTGCACTGGCCTGGGGGGGCCACGAACGACAGGAGGGCACTGGCACAGAGGGGGGGGACGCATCGACGTGGAACCGTCGACATACCGCCGATCGATCGGCCGATAGGCCACCGACATTGAATCCGCACTTTCCTGGGCAAGTTGGGGCTATCGGGCACCTACCGGCGACCAATGGGCGATGGGGGTCGATGCATCCCCCCCTTTGCCTATCCCCCCTCATCGTTGCCCTTGCGGCCTACGCACCACGTCCAGCACGCCCCCGAGGCCCTCGCCGAGCTCCCCGATGGCCTCCGTGACTCCGTGCTGGAGGCTGCCGATCTGGTTGCGCTGCCGGGCCTGCCTTTGCCGCTCGACGTACGCGTCGTCCAGGCTGACGCGGTCCATGAGCTGAGTTGCCCTGCCTGAGCATCGTTGGACCGATCCATATCTGGCCTGGGCCCCACTGGCCGATTTATCCCCCTAGATGGGGATATAGGCTGTTCCCGTCGAGTTTCGAGGGGCATATCCCCAACTAGGGTGGTGGGATGGTGGGGATCTGGACGGGGATGGAGAAGGGAATAGGGATCGGTTAACCGATGCTGACTGCCAGTGACGCCGGTGACGCCCTGCACGACGGAGCTGCCAATCTTGCCGCCCAGCTTCAGCGTGCCGCGCGGCACGTTCAGCAGCGACGAGCGCCCGAGAAGCGAGATGAGGGACTCGAGCATGTCCCCCATGTACTCGTCCACCACGGACATCGCAAAGTCGGACGCGGAGCCCCTCTCGCCCACGACGTCCTTCGGCTCCAGGTCGATGCACGACCCCTCGAGCGAGAGATTTCTGGAAAACGTGATGCTCGGCAACAGGACGCGCACCCACTTCGGAATGAACACGAGCGTCCCCAAGTCGACCTTGCACCACACGTTGATCCGCACGGCCGAGACCCGCATCTCGTCAACCTGTAGAGCCTGCTGCGGAGCTGGTACTTCCCACGCCTCGTCGAGCAGAGATTTGCCGGCGCCGCACAGCACTTTGGCGACGACGCCCTCGGAAGCCGAGCTCTGGCCGTCGCCGGATGCCAGGCCGGCGTCGCGCAAGAAACCGCTTGCGGAGGCAGCGAGGCGGTCGTCTACCGTCAGCTCGAGCTCCTCCAGCTCGATGCGCACGGCGCGGAGGTGCAGGTCGGGCGAGGACGTGCTCCCTCTGTCTGCCACGACCCGCAGGACTGGGTGCATCGCGCCCGCGGCGGCACTCCGATTGCCGAGGACGACTCTGCTGCCTTCGGGTTGCGACTGGCGCATCCGCTGAAGGTGCCTGGCTCTGGGCGTTCCGTGGAAGTCCAGCTGCATGTCCGAGATCGCCAGGTCGAATAGCTGTCTGTCCTCGTCAGGCCGTGCGTCCAGGCGCACCTGCAAGAGCTCCTGGTGGAACCAACAAGTGCCGATGCTGCCACTCCCTGGAACTCTCCTGGGGTGCGTTCGGACCAGCATTTCGAGGAGACTCCAGCGGTGGCGAGGAGGGCCTCCCAGGAGGCCCACAGAGGCGAAACCGAGGCAAGGCAAGGGCAGCGGTACCCGTACCTTTTCCCCCTCTGCGCTCCAGCTCCAGGTACAGGAGCTCGGAAGCTCCACCGCTGTGCTCGCCGATGAGCGAAACCCCGAGCCGGGGCAGCAGCAGCTCCAGCCGCAGCGCCGGCGCGGCAGGCGGCGCGTCTGCCCCGGGCCGCACCTCGATCCGAGTGCACAGGCCGTTCTGCACGCTCTTGACGCTCGCCTCCGCGCCTGTGTGGCCTCCGACTGTGCTGTGGGGCTTGAACTGGATCGTCGCGCCGTGCTGCAGCGAGATCTCCACGGCGCGGTCCGCATCTCTGCCCAGGGGGTCAGGCCAGCCAAGCGGGTGCTCCCTCCCAGGCGGCACAGTCGCCCACTCGGCGCCGCGCACACGCACGCGACATGGCTCCGCGAAGCTGTTCACCAGGGTGTAATTACTGCCGTGCCGCAGCAGTACACAGAGCATGCCGCGGTCTGGGCGGAGCTCAAGCGTCCAACTCATGCCGCCCAGGAGCAGCGGGATCGCCAGCGGGAGGTCGCGCTCAAGGGGCAGCGGCGCCGACCAGTCGGTCCACCCGTCCTCCGTCTCCACCTGCAGGTGCAGCGCGTCCGCCACGAAGCCCGGAGCCGCGGACCCCCCGGCGGGCACCGAGGCGGAAGCGCCTCCAGCAGAGCTGGCTCGAAACTGGGCCGGGTGGCCAGAGGCGTTGTGCAGCACCAGCCACGGCGCGATCTCCAAGCACCTAGTCGGGCAGCCCCGCACCTCGCTCGGGGGCAGCGCCAGCGACCGCACGCAGACGGCGCGGCCGTCGGCCAGCGTGGCGCGCCCGTGCGAGCTGGGCAGCGAGAAGAGCGGGCCCGCTGCATGGCCGACCGCGAGCGTGTACTTGTCCATCTGCTCGGCGCACAACGTGATACCCTCGAATGCCGGCAGCGGTGATCCCCGCTGCACGGTCAGACCCCAGCCAGTCCGGTCGACAAGCCAGCACGGTGTGTGCACCACAACCTGGGCCTCCTCTCTCGCGGCCACCGTCAAGATCGCGCCCGCTTCGCCCTTCAGCTCCGCTTCCGTGTCCTGCTCCCGCCCCGCCGCCTCCCCGACACCGACCACGGCCCACTGCTTCGACCAGAGCCGCCCCCGCACCCACACGCGCACCGCGACCTTCCCGGGGCAGGCGACGTCGTACACAGCCGCCCTGCCCATGGAGGGCACCTCCGCGCGCCTGGCCGCTGCCTCCGGCTCGGACGCGAGCCGGTACTCCACCTCCATCGCGCAGGGCAGCACCGACACCCAGGTCAGCGCCGGCACGATCCGCAGCCAGCAGCACGGCACCCGAGCTGGCGGCGCTGACACAGACACGCTGCAAGCGACCAAGAACGAGGACTGGCCGCAGCGGACAGGCACAAAGTTGCCTGCAGCGCTTGGTATGCCGAGGGCCGTCCAGCCGCCGTCGTGCAGCGCCACCTCCACCTGCGACTGGAGCGCCTGGGCGGCGGCGAAGGTGCTGGCTCCGCCAGGCGACGCCACCGCCTCCTTCAGCGGCAAGCCCACCACCTTTGAGCAGGGACCGACCGTCACGGCCGTCTTATAGACCTACCACGAAGTGCTCCGTAGAACGAAATATCGTTTCATAGCAAATTATCCCGGCAAAGCAACCTAACAGCGATGTGTAGGAGCATATCTGGAAGCATTCCCCTTAAGATTCAGATGATAATCCAGTTGTAGAATTCTGTTGTTCTCGCAGTCGTAGTCGCATTCGCGATGACAGTCGCAGTGGCAACGGCAGTCGCAGTCACAGCCTCAGCCTCAGCCTGCCTCAGCCTCAGCCTCAGCCTGCCTCAGCCTCAGCCTGCTTCAGCCTCAGCCTCAGTCTGCCTTCAGCCTCGGCCTCAGCCTCAGCCTGCCTCAGCCTCAGCCTGCATCAGCCTCAGCCTCAGCCTCAGCCTGCCTCAGCATCAGCCTGCCTCAGCCTCAGCCTCAGCCTGCCTCAGCCTCAGCCTCAGTCTGCTTCAGCCTCAGCCTCAGTCTGCCTTCAGCCTCGGCCTCAGCCTGCCTCAGCCTCAGCCTGCCTCGGCCGCAGCATCAGCCTGCCTCAGCATTCAAAATGTGGCCCAGGAATGGAATTCTGGGAACTAGAAGAACACGAAGTGGCCTACAGTTGGCTCCGGGCATTCAAAGTCATGGCCAGGAATGGAGTTCTGGGAACTCGAAGAACGCGAAGTGGCCTACAGTTGGCTCCGGGCATCCAAAATGTGGCCCGGGAATGGAGATCTGGGAAGTCGAAGAGCACGAAGTGGCCTACAGCTGGCTCCGAGCATCCAAAATGTGGCCCGGGAATGGAGTTCTGGGAAGTCGAAGAGCACGAAGTGGCCTACAGTTGGCTCCGGGCATTCAAAATGTGGCCCGGGAATGGAGTTCTGGGAAGTCGAAGAGCACGAAGTGGCCTAGAGTTGGCTCCAGGCATTCAGAATGTGGCCCGGGAATGAAGTTCTGGGAGGTCGAAGAGCACGAAGTGTGTGACTGTTTGCGAAAAACGAATTCGGACCCAGCTCCCCGGATGCCGCCCAGACCCCCCTGGGGAGTCATCAGATGCTCTCTTTTGGCCCTATTAGAAACCTATGAGTCTTCGCTGTTAGGTAATGAAATCTTTTGAGAATATAACGCCGATCGGTCAAACCAAGACTGCCTCAGCCAGAAACATGTTCGACAAATATTTCGCGCAGACCAAGAGGGCCTCACAACATTTTTTGGTGGGCTTACAGGCGAATCGAGACGCTTCGCCACTGCTAGAAAACGAAAAACGCCATAAACATGAACTTTTGGCGCTCCGCGCGGAGTTCTTGGGTCTGCCCTGGAGCCCCCGCCCTGGCGCGCGGAGCGCGCCGGGGGCGGCGCCGGAGGCGCAGCCGGGGGGGGGGGGGGGGCCCGGCGCGGATCCCCAAAGTCTGCGCGGAGCGCCAAGAGTTTAGGCTCATGGCGTTTTTTCCCCACATCCTGAGTGGGGTTCTTGTTTTCCCAGAACACCCTCTCCTTCCCACCCACCTCCCGCTCCATCTTCCATACAGCACAATATTATTCCTACCACACACACCATACCATACCATAGTTCCTACCACACATACCATACCATACCATACAGGGAGGCCCCGCCTGAGCGAGGAGGGTATCCGCAAACCATACTATTTACATGGTTTCGTGCCCCTCCCACCCCTCCAGGGAGGCCCCGCCTGAGCGAGGAGGGTATCCGAAACCATACTATTTACATGGTTTCGTGCCCCTCCCACCCCTCCAGGGAGGCCCCGCCTGAGCGAGGAGGGTATCCGCAAACCATACTATTTACATGGTTTCGTGCCCCTCCCACCCCTCCAGGGAGGCCCCGCCTGAGCGAGGAGGGTATCGGAAAACCATACTATTTACATGGTTTCGTGCCCCTCCCACCCCTCCAGGGAGGCCCCGCCTGAGCGAGGAGGGTATCCGCAAACCATACTATTTACATGGTTTCGTGCCCCTCCCACCCCTCCAGGGAGGCCCCGCCTGAGCGAGGAGGGTATCGGAATACCATACTATTTACATGGTTTCGTGCCCCTCCCACCCCTCCAGGGAGGCCCCGCCTGAGCGAGGAGGGTATCGGAATACCATACTATTTACATGGTTTCGTGCCCCTCCCACCCCTCCAGGGAGGCCCCGCCTGAGCGAGGAGGGTATCGGAAAACCATACTATTTACATGGTTTCGTGCCCCTCCCACCTCTCCAGGGAGGCCCCGCCTGAGCGAGGAGGGTATCCGAAAACCATACTATTTACATGGTTTCGTGCCCCTCCCACCCCTCCAGGGAGGCCCCGCCTGAGCGAGGAGGTATCCGAAAACCATACTATTTACATGGTTTCGTGCCCCTCCCACCCTCCAGGGAGGCCCCGCCCGAGGAGGGTATCCGAAAACCATACTATTTACATGGTTTCGTGCCCCTCCCACCTCTCCAGGGAGGCCCCGCCTGAGCGAGGAGGGTATCCGAAAACCATACTATTTATATGGTTTCGTGCCCCTCCTCCCTTCCAGCGGGGCCCCGCCAAAGCGAGGAGGGCATCAAGAAAATGGGTCCCACGAAATCGTTAATCTCTTTATGTGGAGAACTCCGTTAGCATAATTTTCTCTCTTTCGCACTGCTGGACGCCTCCCCAGGCTTCTGCGCCAGTCAGCATTGAGTGGTCCTGAGTATTGAATGGTCCTGGGTCCTTCAGAATGTCAGGCATCATTGAGTGGTCTTGAGTATCATCGCCACATGTATAGAAAGGGTTGGGTACGTCACAGGGTAATTTCTCTCTTTCGCACTGCTGGACACCTCCCCAGGCTCCACGAGAGGCTCCTGCGACGCCAGGGGCCCGCCGCCTCCCCGCGCGGGGGCCGCCGGGGGCCCCGCGGGCCCCCCGAGCAGCAGCGCCGCCCCCGCGCAGCGGGTGCGGGGCAGCGGGGCGCCGCGGCCCGCCGCCCGGACCCGCAGCGGCAGGGACGTGGCGTTGAGCAGCAGGCACTGCGGGGACACCAGGAGCAGCGCGTAGTCCGCCTGGTGATGGGCCCAGTTTCCACCACGCAGCTGCCGCAGGCAGGAGGAGGAGGAGGCAGAGGAGGAGGAGGAGGAGGAGGACGCAGAGGAGGAGGAGGAGGAGGAGGAGGAGGAGGAGCTTCTCATCATCCTCCGTTCTCCCCCGTCCTACATATCGTAGTGGTGGTGGAACATTTGCCCATCAGCCTGGGGCCGGAGCAGCTGCCAGAGCACGGGCGCGGCGTCGGGGCCCAGCACGCACTCGGAGCCGCTCCGCGTCAGGCCCAGCCGGGCGCCGCCGGGGAGCTCGACCTGCTCGCGGCGCTCGGGCAGCACCCAACCGTCCATCGACCGCCACTCGCCGGTGTGCGAGTCGACGCGCGCGCTCTCGCGGCGCGCCGCGCCCAGGAAGCCCAGGTCAACAGGATGGTCCGTAAGATTTAGGACCCGATAGCGAGGGGCTGTGCTGACCTCCGTGTCGTCGAGCGAGGGGCTCAGCACCGACAGAAGGTGTGGCACGTACCAGGCCAGCTGCCTGACTGCCGTGGGCGTCGCGTTGAGCATGAGGGGCCGGTGGCCAAACACCTTGACGCTCTGGCCCTCCTTGACAGTCTGCGAGACCTGGGCGACCAACAGAACAGAGCCTTACGCAGGATGGCATGGCGACCTGAAGCCGCGGCTTGCGCGGTCCGCCAGCGTGGCACACCTCGTGGAGAGGAGGGCGCTTACCCGCGACCTTGCGCTGGCAGCTTACGCGCGAATATCGGCGCAGTCGCTGCGCAGTCGACCCAACTTTCATCCGTCGCTCACCTGGCACGTGATCTTGAACGGCTCGAGCACGGGCTCAAATCTGCCAGCCCGCACGCTGAACACCTCCGTGCCCATCTGGAGCATGAGCGTGGCCTTCGTGTCGAGGCTCTCTGTGTTCACGGTCACCTCGAGGGAGTCCGAGGCCATCTGCAACCGCATCACTGGCATCAGCGCGTCGTCGAGCAGCACGGTCGACTGCCCCAGCTGGAAGCTCACCTGCAGCGTCTGGCCCTTCCGCGCCTGCTGGGCCTTCTCGTGCGCGGCCGCAAGGAACGCCTCGCGGGCGCGCCGCTTGACCTGAGCCAGCCTGGTGTTCTCGCTGATCTCCCGACGGACAGCTGGCGGCTCACTGCTGGGCTCGGACTCCGCAACGTCCTCCAGCAGCGTGGTGGGCCCCTTCGGCAGCGCGGGCTGCCTGGGCGCCACCTGGGCCCCGCCTGGCGGCGCCGCTGGGGCGTCCGCCTCGCCGCCTCCGAGCGCGGCCAGTGCCGACTGCGGGGCGAGGGCGAGGATCTGGGCGATCTCCGGGGAGGCCTTGAGCTGGAGCCCGTCGAGCCTGCCGCCCACCTCCACGGCGTCGGGCCTGATCTGGAGCGTGGCCTGCAGCTCGAACGGGGCCACCACGTCGTGCCGCAGGCGATTGCGGTCGGTCGCCGCGAGGCCCATGTCGGAGAAGGTGAGCGTGAGCTCCACCGCCTCCGTCGTGCACGCCCTGGGCGTCTTGATCAGCATGCTCCCCGGCGACACCCACAGCTCGCGGCTGCCGGGGATCGGCAGCCGCAGCCGGGGGCCCTTCAGGTCCACGTGGAGCTCCAGGGCGTCGGGGATCCGGGCCTGGGCGCCTGCCAGGACCTCCTTACCCTTGTCGCTCTGCAGCCACTGCTCGCCCATCGACAGGAAGTCCTCCACCCTCTCCCTCCTGGCGCGCTCCACCTCGCGCTCCACGCCCGCCGACTCCGAGCGTCGGAGGGCCGGCTCGGGAGCCCTCGGCTCGCTGGCCGGGTCGAGCCCGCAGCACCAGCCCGCGCGCTCCGCGCGGCCCCCGGCGGGGCCCCCGGAGGCGGGCGCGCGGGCCGGGTCGATGCGGGAGAACTCCTCTGCGACCGCCGCGGCGAAGCGCCGGAGGCTGGGAAGCAGCGTGTGCGAGACACGGGCCTCCAGGGGCTGGAAGGCCAGCGACACGCTGACCACGGTGCGCTCCGGCTCGAGCCGGTTCCTCAGGCTCAGCGCCATGGCGGCGGGCTCCCCCAGCCTGACGGCCCCGAAGTCGACGATCCTCAGATCGCCTTCCGTCGCGCTCATGCCGTCGGCTTCTAGCGACAAGCTCCACTTCGCGCTGGGAAGGCGCCTGTGGTCAAGGCTGCTCTCGATGTCCGTGACGAACTTGCCGCCCAGAAGCTTGGCAGTGATGGCACTCCCCGTGTCCTTGTCGGCACCGGGGAGAAGCTCCACCTCGAAGCTGGAGAACAGCATCTCAACGGAGACCTTCTTTGGCAGCTCCAGCGCGTCCAGCGAGTCCGCCTCCTCCCGAAGCCTCCGCACAGCCTCGTCCGCGGCCTCCTCGAGAGGCGCCACAAGCGGCATCGACGTGGTTTCTCGGAGCTCCGCGCGGATTTCTTGGACTGGCGCTGGGCTGCTATGTTCAACAGAAGAAGAAATCCAATCAAGTAACTCTCCGGGTACCCCTCGGGACAGCCTGGGCAACCCACGCTGCTCAACGACGACAGGGCGGCCTACCCTGGACACCCCCCCGACAAACTTGAGGGAATCTGGACACCCCCCCTGGACACCTCCCTTGGGCATGTCCATCTGGGATCCCCTTTCCATCAGATATGGTCTGCGATTTGCTCTTGGGTCCTCGCTGATGTCCGAGGGCGGTGCGCTGCGCCTCCCGAACATGCGGCCGAATATGCTGCTGGTTCGCCTCTTCTCCTGCTTCTCCGCTTCTCGGCGTGCGGCGACCTCCTCCATCTCCTCGGTCAGAGGCGCCAGCCAGTGCGCCAGCGACTCCTCGGGCACCACGTCCCAGAGGAGCTGGAAGCGCCACAGGTCCGTGTCCGCAAGCTCCAATGCCCCAGAGGGGAGCTCAAACTCGGCGCCGTGCTTCCGGCGGAACAGGTCTTTGAACTCCGTCTGCGTGCGCTCCACGTCCTCTTTGGACGCCCAAAATGGGCACACGGAACGGGCATGTTGCCCAAAACCGACAGCGGCCGCTGCTGGGTAGACGGCCTTCTGTCTCAAATGGACAAGGCCCGCGGCGGCACCGACGGCAAATCCTGTTCGACATGGGCAGGCACTGCTGCCGGTCTTCGCCCCCATCCTTTCCATACCCCTTCCCAGACGTGTAGATCCTCTGCGGAGCCGAGGGCCACCAGCTCCACCGTGCCCGGGGGCGTCAGGAGGCCCTGCAGGCGACTGCCCTCCTGGAGCAGCCCGGCGGCCAGGGCCGCCAGCTTGCGGGCCTGGCCGAGCGACACCGAGGCGCCCGTGCCACCCGCGCGGCCAACCTCCAGCCGCAGGCCGACGTCGCCGGCGGCGGGGTCGTCGCACAAGTGGAGCACGAGGTCCAGCGGCTTGAGCAGCGGGCGGGCCTCGGACAGGGCGCCGCCCACGACGCTCAGCGCCGTCACGCTCACCTCCTTGCTCAGTGCCTGGAGGGTCGCCCTCTCCGCGCGTGCGGGCGAGCCCTGGGGCCCCGGCGAGCGCACGCTGGCCGAGTCCAGGTGCAGACCGAGCTCCGCCCTGGCGGTGAGGTCCTGGATGCAGCCCCCGATGTCCGAGATGTCCACGCTGAGGTTCCCGAGGATCTGCCTCGTCAGCTTCGCCGCGAAGCTGACCTTGTCGTCCACCTCCTGGCCGGCCCTCACGGCCGCGTCCACCACCTTGCGGCTCTGCGCCAGCTCCCGCAACTGCCCAGCACGCGTGGCGACGCGCTGCTCGCGGCTGTCGCGCAGCAGGCGCAGCTGGTCCTCGTCGGACCGCTGCGACTCGCGCTGCGTGCGGGCGGCCACGCTGAGCCCGTGGACCGCGATCTGGATCTTCTTCGCGAACAGGGCGCTGAGCGGGACGGACACTTCCACGCTTTTGATGGAGCCCCGCTCCAGCTCCACGGCGTCGACACCCAGCGCGGCGAAGATGGTCTTCTTCAGGGCCAGGTTCTTGAGCTCCAGCTTGCCAGTGCGGACGCTGATGCTCAGCTTCTCGCTCGACAGGCCCTCGACATATGTAAGGGAACGAACAATGACATAAACAGAAAGACTCGGAGGTCCGCGCGGACTTCTCAGATCCGCGCCGGAAGCCCTTCTGGAGGCGCCTCCGGCGCCACCCCTGGCGCGCTCCGCGCGCCAGGGAGGGAGCCCCAGCGCGGACCCGAGAATCCCGCGCGGACCTCCGAGTCTTTGTGCTCATGCCATCCATGGTTCGCTCCCCAGGTATGGCGCCAGAAACTTCGACAGGAGGTTGCCGACCAGGTTCTCGAACATCGCCCCGCGGCCACGGCCTCTGCGGCCACGGCGCCTGCAGTCGCGCCCCGCGCGCGGCGTGGGGGGGCGCCCGGCCCAGCACCCTGGCCGGAGGCAGCGCTTGGAGTCAGACGGCTACGGCTACGGTTAGGTCGGGCATGTCCCCTCCTGCAGGCGGATTTCGGACGAAATTGAAAAGACCCCTACACATATTCAAAAATCATCTAAAACATAGTCGAGAAGCGTCCCCAGACCAATGCTTACTTTTTAAATGTTCTTCCTGCAGAGGGACGTGCCCGACTTGAGGCTATGGACCCCTGGATGCACGTGCACAGCAGGTTCGTGCCGTGACGACTTTGCAGTTGGTCTCCGACGCCGCGTGGATCGTCCAGCCTCGAGCGATCGGCGGCTCCTCGATTACCAGAGCGTTCCACATCGACCGCTTCCAGGCCAACGGCGGCGTCCAGCCTTGAACGCTCGAACTGGCGTCGCCGCCGCGTCGACACGACACGCACCTGCCGTAGCGGGGGCCATCCGCCCTTGTCCTAGACATGTGATGCTTTGTTTTTTCCCGTGCACTCTCCCCAGAAGTCCCGACCCTTTCCCCAGGTGGCCTTATGTTGCCGAAAACGGACGAGCCTGTTCTTTCAGGGGGGGGCGCGACCACCACACTTGACACGACTCGGCCTCAACCGATGCGAGAACCAAGAAGCCGCCAGGCAAACGGGAACCCCAACGCAGGCCGACCTCAAGCAGGCAAACCCATGCAGCGAACCGTGGTCCGGAAGGGGGAGCGAACGTGCTGCCTGCGCAGAGCACGCCGTCTTCGCGCTTCGCGCTCCGCGAAGCGCGATGATCTGTGCGCTTTCGCGCCGCCCCCCCCCGGAACAGGATGAGGGGCTCGCGCCTTGCTCTCAACCAGCCCAGACCGAGACGCGCGACGAACTTTGCACCCTCGCGGTGAGAAGAACAACCGGCATGAACTAAAGCTTCTGAGGCTTCGCGCGAATTTCTCTGATCTGCGCTGGACGCCCCTCCCTGGCGCGCAGAGCGCGCCAGGGGCGGCGCCGGAGGCGCCGCTGGGGGGGGGCCAGCGAGGATCCAAGAAAGCCGCGCTGAGCGCCAACAGTTTAGGCTCATGCCGCTTCTTCTTCTTCTTCTTCTTCTTCTTCTTCTTCTTCTTCTCTAACCGCGAGGGTGCAAAGTTAGTCGCGCTTCTCGGTCTGGGCTGGCTCAGGGTTTCCTTCTTCGAGTGGTGGCCCTCGACGTTCGCACACCCCACGAGCGCGCGCACGTCTGGGGCTGCAGCTGCCGCTCTGGCGCGCCGCAGGCCCCCGTCCTTCGAGCAGGGACCGACCGTCCCGGCACACCTGTTGGTAAAAGACACACAGAACACACAAAACACACAAACAACACACAAAAACACACACAGTCGGTGGGTAAAAACGCACACACAACACTGTGGTGTTTTTCACCCACAGGACTGTGTGTGTTTTTTACCCAGTCTGTGTGTGTGTGTGCTTTTTTTTTTGTGTGTGTGTGTGTGTGTGTGTGTGTTTTGTGTGGCATGTTCTTAGAACCCAGAGTTCCAAGAACAAGAACCTCTCAGAACAGAAGCCCGCGGTGTGAAAGCACGACAGTCCTGGCCAGAAGTGTTCTAAGAACGTTTCTCGGGGGGCGTTGGCAGAACTGGGTTTAGTGGAACCTGGTTTAGTGATTTGTACCGGGGGCGCCCCCCCGTCCCATTTCCACCAACTGGAACTGCCGTCACCCGAAAAACACCAGCTGCGGCAAACCTGGTTTAGTGAATCTGGCCCATGGAGGGCCCCCAGGGCCCCACCACTGAGCGGGTCCCCCCTTGCCCGGGGCCCTGGCCATACCCGCCTTTCCTGCAGACCACGACGCTGCTTGAGTCTGGGGCTGCAGCCGGCGTTCCGGCGCGCCGCAGGCCCCTCCCGTCCTGCCCCCCCCCCCCCCCCCCGCCGGGGCGGCGCGCGGCCGGCCGAGCGGCGGGCGCGGCCGCGCACTCGCCGGCGCGGACGAGCCCGTGCACCAGCTGGGGGGCCACCTGGGCCGCGAGCGGCGAGCATGCCCGCAGCCGTAGGCTTAGGTCGGGCAGGTCCCCCTACAGGAGGATCTTGGACGAAAGCCAAACAACAGATTGTATCCCACAGGTGTTCCACAAATGCCAAAACATGGTCAGCAGATCCTCCCCATACTATTTTTGAACAACTTTTGGATATCCCTCCTGTAGAGGGACAAGCCCGACTTAACCGTAGGGGAACAAACAATGACATGAACATAAAAACTCGGAGGTCCGCGCGGATTTCTCGGATCCGCGCTGATCCGCGCCTCTGGCGCCGCCCCTGGCGCGCTCCGCGCGCCAGGGAGGGGGGTCCAGCGCAGATCCGAGAAACCCGCGCGGACCTGCGAGTTCTTATGTTCATGTCATTGTTCGTTCCCCTAAGCCGAGCCCTCGCGGGCTGGATGCCGAGGCGCGACTGCCGCGGATGCGCGGTCGCATGGATGCGTTCCGCGCGCCGCATCCGCGAAGAAACGCCCGGTATCCGCCGGGAGCCAGCGCCCGGCCCGCGAGGCCGCGGAAGCGGACATGTGCTTCCCGCCCACGACTGGGCGCGGAGCAGAGAGGAAGCTGGAGGCTCCCCGTAGAGACCTCGGCGCCGCATCTTCTCCACGGGCGAGTTTGCCCCGCTTCGGGCTTCGAGGCCCTCACGGACCGAGCCGGCGCGCCAAAACGCAGCAACAAGATGGGGTCTGGGGCTAGGTCGGGCGCGTCCTCCTACAGGCGGCTTTTGGACGAAGGTCCCAAAAATACACCAAAAATATTATAAAAAACGCGCGGCGAGGCTTCAATCCCAGACCCCCGACGTAATGTTTTTTTCGTTACGTCGACCCCCAGAGGTCCCGACCCTTTCCCCATGACCCGCTTTGCATCCCGAGGCCCAGCGAGGGCCCCCGGAGGCCGAAAATGCAGGAAAACCTCCCGTCGTGGTTTTTGCATTGCTCTAGGGGCTCTGGGATCCCGCCGTGGCGTCGGGCCTCGGACACCTCGTGGCCCCTCGCCCGGCCCGGAGCTCCACGAGGCCCCGGCGGCGGCGGCCGCCGCGGCGGGCCGAGCCCGGGCGCCGGGCAGAGAGCCCTACCGCCCAGAGGACCCCCCGGCGGCGGGCGGGGGCCGAAGCGGAGCGACGCCGCTGCCGCCAACAGCGCCCTCGCGTCACAGGGCTCGCTTCGATGCCCCCGCTCCGAGTCGGTTCGGTGCTCCTCCTCCTCCTCCTCCTCCTCCTCCTCCTCCTCCTCCTCCTCATTTCCCTCCTCCTCCTCCTCCTTGCTTCCCTCCTCCTCCTCCTCCTCCTCCTCATCATTTTCCTCTTTTCGCCCGCTCAGAACGAGTACTTATCATGGCCCGTTCCTCCGAGGCGGGATCCCCCCCCCCTCCCGGCCGCGGCGGCGAAGAGCCCTCGGAGAGGCCCAGGAACCCAGAGACCCGACGCCGCGAAAAATCGCAGCATCGTGAAAATCACTGCCAGAGTCAGGGACGTAGATGATGTGACTATTGCTGCTGGCGTGTTTATCTTTTTTGTCTAACACCGTTCTCAGATTTTCGGTTTTGGGCCTCCGAAAAAGGAAAAACAGACGGCAACCCAAAACCGAACAACAAACAACTACAATACAAAAGGGAACCGAACCGACAACGGCGCGAATGGTAATCCCCCAACGGAAAAAACGGATCCCCAGACGGTAGAACACAGTATATTGAAACCATACAAGAACGCAAGCAATATGTTTAACATCATCTAAGGCCCCCGACCTCACCTTAGCGCAACAATTTCGGAGCCGGATCGATCTGCCAGGGTCCCAGGGCCCCGAAAGTATGGGAAGACGCCCGACTCGAGAAGCAACACCAGGATCGCAGGAGGAGGAGGAGGAGGAGGAGGAGGAGGAGGAGGAGGAGAAGGAGGAGG